CGCAGTCGTATCCACGTGTACACGTGTATGTAATTTTCAAATGGCAACTTTTAGCTGTTTGCTGGGGCTTTGTATGTCTATGTGTGTATGACTGGGTGCTCAAGAGAGGGTTCGTAACGAGTACACGGCTGCGTTTTACAACCTTCGTGTATATAATATAAAATCCCTGTGTCTTTGCGATACATTTTTTCATGTGTTATATTATACATTAATAATAGGCATTTCGCGATGAGTCAGAAGTTTAATGTATGTCTCATTGCGGTTGGAGGAATCATCGCGTACTGTACGTGCGCCACGCTTGCTCTGCGCCTTTGAGTCATATTTTATCATCATCTAAGAATAATAATACCTCATATACTTTTCGCGAATTTATATACGTAGTCAAATTGTTAATTCAGCGACGTATAAGCTGGATATACGCGGGCTGCAAAAGTGCATTAGACCGAGTAAAAAGCCTCGGGGAGAAAAAAGGCGCAGACGTGCGCTTTCCTCGGGGAAAATCTCTCTACATATACATGTATAATACCGAGTTTCGCGTAAAAATTGATGGATCTGCCCCTTTTTTCTCTCTCTCTTCCTTTTTGGTTGAAGGGGCATCCTCTTGCACCGCATTGATTGACGCGCCACGTAAATGCTTTAGCCACCACCCTGGTGGTAACTCTCCAGAGAGTCTTGCATAAAGTATCTTCTTTTTTACTTGTCTATTACCCGGCAGCTCAGTCGATATCGTTCATCTCACAGTCGTGTAGTGTCCTGGGATTTTTTTGCTCTTCGAACCGTATAAGCAATTGTTGTAACGATGAAGTCTGTATAAGAGAACGCGTGTAACGAAAAAACAAACCTAACGCAAAAAACTGGATATTTGAGGAAATATTTTTACTAAAATTACTGGTCCGAGAGAGTAGGTGGGTCGATGAAAAAATGTCTCTGGCCTCGATGCGTATAATGTGATATACACGAGAGACGAAAAGTTGGCAAAGACGAGCGAGCACAAGCCTCTAGGTACACCAGTAGTACATCATCAATAAAAGCTTTCACTGTATATACATGCGGCTTGCAACGTGCTCGACGTGTAGCGTTTCATAACCGAATGTGTCTTTCAGAAAGGTCATCGCCGTGAAATCGTATACCAGACAGCATCATCTCTCTGCTTCTGCTGCTGCTGCTGCTGCGGTGGCGCACCCGATAAGTATTAATTAGTTATGGCGGACTACCCTTGGATTACTTTTGTATAAACCCTATCTACAGTCTCTTTCTCGTCGCTTTTCCACGAAAAAAAGAAAAGAAGAAAAAAAAGTAACTTTGATAGAGAGCCGCCCCGGGAGAGCTGCCCAAATCCTTTTTCCGCTTGTTCTTGTATCGCTGCCTACATACTGATTGCACCGCAGTCCTTGCGGATCCTTGAAAATCGCTCCAGCGTGCAAAGCAGGAAGACGAGTCGAGTAACCTTCTTCGTCTTCTTCTTGCTCCATTTCGCCCTCTCTCTCTGCTCTCCTTTGTGGCCGCGCAGTGATTACGTCCAAGCGCAATATATAAGCACAGGCTTAAGAGTTGAGAGAAATATATATATTTTATATATATTACAGGCCGCTTCGTGGGGGCAGTTCGAATTTTGACCCTTCTTGCCAATGTTTGTAACTTCATAGTGCTGTAGCATATCGATGAATTTTGCTTCTCTCACAAATTTTATATGCCATGACACTGTAAGTTTTTTGCTCGAAAATAATGAGTAATTACGGCGATAGTTAATAATAGAAAGTAAAAAAAAGAGCCTTTCATGTACACTCACTCGTAACAGCAACAGACAGCGTTGCGTCATGCGAGACTCTCAGTGCGCGTACCGAGCATCGAAACTGATGAGCCAAGCTTAGATTCGTATAATGAAAAAGAATAGGTTTGAAGATGACAAAGAAGCACAAAAAGTCGCGTCGAGTAAATTGCCTTTTATACAACGCAAAGAAAATGAGAGAGGGAGCGAGATGAGATATCGTTTCGGCTTTCACGGTGCATGTCCATATTGTTCGGAGAAATTTAAGCAAAACCGAAGCGTCGGGTTGCGCACTGCGGTTACACGACACAACACACTCTGAGAGAGAGAGCAAAAATTAAGAGAGAACATATAGTGATTGTTATCAAACACAAATCGAAGGTATATGAGGGGAGAGCAAAGTTGGGAGTTCGACTTGGCCAAACCTGACTTGCGAGATCTCGTGGGGGTTGAATCGAAGCTAACTTCGGTTAAGTTCGCCCGATAGCGCAATTCTTGTATAAACCAACAAGTATTGATTCTGGAAAGAATTTGAAAAGGCCTTGCTAAAAAAAAAATAAAAAAAACAATAATAAATAAACATGAGGCAAAGTAGCTTTGACTCTTAAAACGGGCATAATGTAAACGTAGCGATTTTTCGCTCGTTAATTTTAGACTTTTCATTTCGTGCATTGTAAGTTGGCACGGGCTTTTCTTGTGCAATATTATCCTCTTATACCGATAGTATATGTGTACGTGCGCGTACACAAACGCACACAGACAGTTCAGGATTATCTTCCCTCCCTTATAACTGCTTGACGGAAACAACTTTGACAAAGCCCTTTGTTAAATGTCCTTTTGCCATTGTGCGTTTGTGTATGAACGTACACATATCTCTCTCTCTCTCTCTCTCTTTCTTTCTCTGTCGATCTAGCTTTCAGACATTTCGCCAACTTGAAGAGTAAGCAATAAGAGCCTGAAACTTTTTATTTATTCTTTTTTTTTAAGAAAAATGTCCACGTTTTTCTTTTAATTTTTTCGTTTCTTTTTTACTTGACTCGGAAGCCAAATAAAAGTTTGAAATTGATCTTCCTTGGCGAAAATCAAATAAATACTCAACGATTGGATGATCATCGTGCATTAGCCGGGACGCGAGCTTCGACGTCGTCATCCTATATTATACACGTATATCGAGACAAGCACAACTGGTTTTCGCGCTAAATACGTATCGAATATCAGCACCGCAAATGCGAGGAATCGAGGAGTATGGAAGCGCAGTTGAGCAAGGAAGGAGAAGCCGCTGGTTATACTCCGTGACGAGGAACGTGAAATAAAAGAAAAAAAAAGGACGAATTCATAAGTAGCAACAGCAGCAGCAGCAGCAGCAGCAGCAGCAGCAGGCCTCAATAACCAAGAGCTTAGTGGTCTATTTCTATCTGTTAAATATTATACCTGTTTTTCTCGACAAAAGGTGGTACGGACTCTCAAGCTGTAAATACGTGCATTATTGTACAGGCCGCACAACGAGATACGAGCCGGTATACGTTATACGCGCAGCTCTCATTATTGCAGCACGACTCGTTGTAAAGCTTCATTGAAACGTTCGTGCTTGCCCAGGGTTTCTCTCCCCGTTATACGGTGCAGCAGCAGCAACAGCAGCAGATATTTTGAAAAAGACAATCAATCGTGCTCGGATACAACAACGCCAAAAAAGGAGTTGGCTCTCGTACATTATACACGCATCCGAAACTGCTTTACAATCGAGCTCGCGCAGAAAAGCTCACTTTATCCATGTGGATTCAGAAAGACGCAGCAGAGAGCTGGCGCGTCAGCTCTTGTTCCGTATTCACGCAGCAGCTCAACGAGAGTAAAAAGATGCGTGCACCACACGCGTATACGTCTTATCTTGCCAAGCCATTTCGTTGTTCGTCTTCGTTTCGATTCATCCGTTGCTGCTGCTGCTGCTACTGTAGTTGAGATTAGGAATGGCATTTCTAAGAAGCTCGTTTAGAAACGTATAACATGGAGCTTCGAAAGCTCCGGCAGTAGCAGAAACATCTCTCCTCTGCGCATTGCAAGCCGTATCTCTCTCTCTCTCTCTCACGGAGGAAAATCGATTTATCGAGTCGTATAAGCTATAGCCGTATTTACGTACGTAGTTCTGTACGTATATAGCTCTGTGTTATGTTATTCGAAGTTGTCGAGACACGTTGGAAGCTGCCATCTACTTCCGATTCAAAACTCCATTCGAGAGTTGTTGGCTTTTTCTCTCTATATTTCTTTTTTGTCCACTCACTCTCGCAAAGTCTCGAGTATGCAGCGCAGAGCTTGTCCAGTGTGACCGTCGTGTAAACAATCGAGCTTGATCTCTCGCCCGGGCAGGGATGAAAAATTACGTTACACGTGTAACAACATTCTGTCTCTCTTTTAGAAGCTCTCTCGTACAAGCAAGAAAATTACCGTCTCTCTCTCTCTCTCTCTCTCACCTTCTAAGTTTTCTATTCTTCGCCAAGACTGTGCAAGCGCAGCAGTGTTGCCAAGACGACCAAGACGACGACGACGATTCATTTCTCAGTCTCGTCTCTGCTGCTAGTGCCACTGCTACGTGTGCTATATATACTGCTTTTGCCATGATTTATCGTGTCCAAGATGCCTGTACAAGCGTCAAGTGGGTGTGTGCACACGAAGCGCCTATATATAGCCAAGAGCAGAGATAAAGCTGCAGCACGTATATACATACATACGTATAAGTATCTGGCGAGGGTATAAAGTGGCTGATGTATTATATGCTCCCGCTACGAAATACGTGTATTTTTTACCTTGCCACCCTCCTTGCGATTTACTAATGAGACGAGCTGGCAGAGAGAGAAAGAAAGGGGGGGGGGCAGGAAAAACGAGGAGCTACTCGAGACGAGTAAGCGAATTTGTACGTTTCGATGCGCGCATTCTAATGCCGGCGTGTGTGTATGTGTCTGTCTATTGTGCCTGGCAACTTTTACACTCTTATAATGTAATTCGCCGAGCACGCGCTGACAATGAGGAGGAGATAAATTACTTATTATTCACCGCAGAGAGAAGATAAATTTATTCCCGCGACTTTTAAAACGTGCCGTGATACGTACATACACCCCATCTTATACACGCGATCGTGTCACGAGCAATTTTTTACTTTTATGCTATAAGAATAACGTGTAAATCTATACATCGTTTTCGCACGAACTAATCTAGAATGTCTTTGGTTGCTGTGTTGCAGAGGTCTTCCATGTGGTATACAGCCACCGGAGCCGATTCCAGACCCGGACGGCGACAAGCTGTCGACGATAGCCGCCCGCTTCAGCTATTTCCAAGAGAAGCGCCACACTGCCCTCTCGAAGATAGAAATTAAACGACACACGAGCGCGCCAGGCAAGGGCAAAGGCATACGACCCACCGTCAGACTGAGACCGCGACAGGTAATTGCCGTCCACTGTCCCGTTGTATTATAATAGATATATTCTATCGACTCGATAACCGATCAACGATGCTTAACGCCGTCCTCCGCAGGTACTGTGCACAAAATGCAGCTCGATATGCAACGAGAAGAGCGAGAACGTCGGCCGCAAGCGCAAACACGAGGACGCGACGTCGACGGCTACGACGGCCACGGCGACGACAACCACGCCGCAGGTGCCGCAACCTCGGCGAAGCGATCGTCGCTGCACGTCTCAGCAGCGTCTCGCCCAGCAGCAGCAGCAACGGCCGATCACGCCTCACGGACAGAACACCAGGAGCCAACAGAGGCTGCTCCAGAACAGCGAGAAGACGAACCACAACGCGGCCGTAGCGACACCATCGTCGGCCTCGCGATTCGATGCATCCCAGTACGACGGAAGTGGTCAGTCGGCGATCGGTCCGGTGCTCATTCCCAAAATGCCGAAACTCCATCCCAACGAGATCAGCGCCATGAAGAATAAATGTGCGTACATCATCTGCCTGATGCAGTAGTCATTTCTATAAAATAATGCTCCAGTGCAGAATTAACGATGATGTTGCTTTGTTCGTAGGTGCTCGGACTCGATCGCAATACTGGACGGACCGGGCCGAGGAGGCTGTCAACGAGGCCAGCGGTCAGGAGGGCAATCAAGCGTCGTCTCAGGCTGCGGAACCAGTCGCCATCGACAGCAATCCGACGCAGGCCTACTGTGCCACGCCTAGGCGTCTCAGCAGCTCTTCGGTCGAGAGCGCCAAAATTCCAGTCAACGAGGAGGACAAGAAGACCTTTGCTGCCGCCGACTCCACCGTCAAGAGTTCGGGTAAGATTCGCGTCGAGGTTCTTTGAAATTTAGTTCGATGAACGAAGGATGCGAGATTGATTCTTTGTGCTTTTTTCTCATCAGGCGGTCGTACGGGACGAGTGACGCGAAAGAAGCGTGGCATCGGCTCCATGGAGGACCTGTGGGACGAGTCCGTCTTCGAGGATCCCGGCAGAACGACGACGACGACGACGACGGTGACGGCGGCGCCGGCGACAGCGACGACCACGACGACGAAAACGACTCCGGTGATCAAGATCTGCTTCGGGACTCAAGGCGAAGGCACGGTAGTGAAAATTCCGGCAAAGATCCAGAACCCCTATCCGGATACGGACACAGAGGAGGCCAAAATCGAGCCGAAACTGCCGCTGAGCGGCTACACGCTCGCCCAAAACCGACTCGGGGTGAAAAACGGCGACGGTGGCGAGAGTCAAGACTCGATCGACCTGGTCAAGCAGAGCCCGAGCGGTAAAGACAGCGAAACGGCGACCTCGAAGGCCGCAAAGAAAGCATTGAAGAAGGCCATGAGAAAGGCACAGAAAAAGATGTTTTCTGCTTCGCCGCTGAGATCGCCCATCAATGGCTCCCCAAGGTATACAGCCAATTTCCTATCGACGGACCTCTACCACAGACGCAAGCACAAAGTTAAGCATAAAAAAAAGCACAAGGAGGAGCGCAAACACAAACAGCAGCAGAAACAGTTGGTGGACGACGAGAAGGTGGGCTCGACTCAGCAGCCTCAACAACCACAGCTCCAACAACTTACAGACTGTCATGTGGATCATCAAGCTCAGCAGCGACAGGAGCATCCAAATTTGGTCGTCAATGACGAGGACGCCAAGGAGCAATGCCTCAAGCAGAAGCTTTCGATATCGCTGAAGAGACTGACCACGAACGCTTACGCCCCTCTCGGCAGCGATCTTCAAAGCAGTTATCCGATAAGCAACGCTTCGTCGGGCTGCAAAAGCCCCGGGGCTAGTAGCGACGAGGACGAGGAGGTCGTGGACGAGGTCGCCGCCGAGACGGCACCGGTGTTTCCGGCCGCCGAGCACTCGCTGGTCATGAGGCTGTCGGCCGCTGCTACCACGACCGTCGGCTTTTGCTTCACCAATGCCGGCAAGAGGATGGATGTGGGTGACATCGTCTGGGGTAAAGTGACCGGCTTCCCATGGTGGCCTGGCAAGGTGAGGGATTTTGATTCGTTAGCTCGATGGCGGTACAATAGACATTTATTATAACGCGACTGTCACATTTTTGCAGGTCTTGAGCATAACGGATTCGCGAAAAGATGACGGTACGTCCACAGGGCCACAGGCGCACGTGGCTTGGTACGGTTCCACGACGAGTTCCCTCATGTCCTGTGATCAGCTTAGTCCATTCCTCGAAACGTTCAAGGTAGAGTCAAAAATGCATTTCTATTCTGGACACGTTTCGCTAACTTTGTTTTTTTTTCTTTTTTCATCGTTCAGACACGTTACAACAAAAAGAAAAAAGGCCCTTATAAGGAAGCCATCAAGCAAGCACAGAGCGAGGCTCGAAGTCAAATCGCCTCGGTTCCTTCGATCGCCCCAGGCAGCGTGCTCGACGTCTGCGGCTCGCCGAGGGAAGTCAACGTTTTGTCTTAAGAATTAAAAGTACGATTAATCGAAAAATTGTACATTGCGAATGATGCACGAAAATTTAGCTGATGTACATAATAATGTAGGGTGATACTGCTACTACGCACGTGTGCATAGTTCGACGAATTTTTGGAAATCGATTTTTTTTCCTCTTTCGTTTTATGCAACGAAACAAAGTTTGTTGTCATTTATTACTTATGAGAAAACTTGAATTTTATAAAAATATATGAGTGTTATTTTATATTAGATATCATTATATAATTGACGTACGAAAACAAGTCGCACGTCGAGCGATAAATGATATTATATATAGTTTCGACTATTTTTTCTATTGAAAAAAAAAATCAAGTAAACAAGAACACGATGAAGGGAAGAAACTCATACATGTATTGTACGGATTTTCATCGTACACAATAATGCTGTGAAATCCAAAGTCTTTGTAAACGGGCTCGCATTCGAAAAACACCGATGCGTCTGTGATAAAACAACTCTTGCTAAGAATTTAACAAAAAAAAAAAGAAAGAAGCTAGTAAAAGACATTAATGTCTTTTTTCCTTTTGGATACGTGCAAGGCATACTTCAATTGACGTTGCATTCGGCGAAATAGCTGATAATTTTATCAGTTGCCGTCTAATCTCGGTGCGTCTCTCTGCGAACACAAATATGTACACACAGTGTGCCTGAAGACAAACGAGATTCGTGTGCGAGGCAAGTGTTGTTTAACTGAAAAATATAACACGCAGGTATATTAAGATTTTGTTTAAAAAAAAATGGTTTTTATTATTTTTGCTTTGGGAAATTCGAGATTTCGATCAAATCTTCATTATATCGTATCGTTTTGCGACATCGAAATTGTCACTCTTCGAATTTCCACCGTAAACCACAAATCACGTGTTTCAACAACCTTCGTCGCTTGCAACTTTATACATTTATACGTCACTGCTTTATTACGTTGGTCGCTCTTTATTAGTTGAAAAAAAGGAAAGCGTACGAGTGTAACACTACAGCTTTTTTGTTGGTTTTTTTGCGTTAATTTTTTTGCTCCACTTATATTCCGATAAATAGTGAAAACAAAATGGATGTTGCATTAAGTGTATACATGAGTAAGTTTGTGAGTGTATGTGTATACGTGCGCAAGCCTATGTAAGAACGATGTGGACTAGATAAACAATTGCTTAGTTAAAAGTCAATAAATGTTGAGATACTTTTTTTCTCTATAAAATTGTCTGCTTACCACGTTACACGATCGTATGTCAAAGTGCAGCCGAGCTTAATGAATTATGTTTTCGTATCGAGTTCATATATGAGAGGAAATGTATACGTAGTAGTCACTGCCACTTTGCAATTACACAATCGGTGTAAATCAACGTAGCAAGTCTTTAGCGAAAAAATAAAAATAAAAATTGTCGGAGCAAATGCTCGGCGTTTTGTAAACGATTTAGAAATAGAAAACATTCGAAATAGGGATAATTGAAGGATTTGACGAGTAATTTTTTTAATGGTAATTTTTTCACGAATGACGAAAGAAAACAAGAGTTTAGTGAGTTCAGATTACAAAATGGATGAATTTAATTTTATTAATTATTGAAAAGAATACCAAGATTTTCCTATTAACTTTGGTATTAACTTTGGCTATTAATCATTGAACTGCAAGATAGTTTTATCTTCTTAATAAAGCATTTATTTGTATTGTTATTAATGCATTGAAGTTTAAATTTTGGCAAAATTAAAGTTAATTTAGCTTTTTTGATTGATCAAAGGATGATGAATATAAACCTAATACGCTTGAAAAATATAGAACAAAACTGTATTTCATCTATTTGGTATAAGGATATAAAATTTAGTTTCTGAAAAAACGGAGAAACTCATAATGAAAATAATCTCCATGAGAAAAAAACTATGATATAACATTATGCTAAACAAAACCAATGTAAAACTCACACGTTGTATAATAAAGCTGATGTAAAAAAGCATCTCTATAATATACATACATACCTATACGCGTCGACCAAGGATAACAAAAATGAAAAAAAGACAAAACGGCAAAGTGTTTTAAGTAACTGTGATTTTTCAAATATTTCATAAATTAAATATAATATATATTACTATATGTAAAAAATTTATAATTTCGTCACGATGTTCTATATGTTTGTATACGCGAATTGAAACGATAATTTTCGCCCCGATGGTTGAGTGTTACGCAGCGTTAACACGAATGTCAATTTACACTTATATTTATAATAGTACATAGATAGCACATGAACGTTACGTGTGTATACCGCTATTTATATATAAAAATGAGTTGAGTATGAGTTAGTTTTAGAGATTTTTTTTCGTTGGGCCACCGATGAAAATGAGCCACAAAGTTATGTGCATAAAAAACTGGTATTATTTGTAAGGATAAGGCAGAAGGAGAAAAAGTATACGATGTATTGATTGTATACATTTTTGTTCTTGTGCGAAATTGTTAGGGTTTTTTTTTTTTTTTTTATTAAAAAAGCATAGTACAGATATGCTGACATGTAAAGCCGTTTTTTTATTATTTTACTATTAAAGTAAGTCCTGATTAGAGTGCATAGAAGTGCGAAAGTGATTGCAAAAGATGTACGATAAAACAAAACAAAAACACAAAAATAACTTGAATTGCATAATTAAACGATAAAGAATTTCTAAAAATAACAAAATTCTGAGTACTTTTTATTTATCCATGCAACAATCGATGAACGATTGAAGTTTTATAACGAATTCCCATGCAGAGAGCACAGCACAGGCAGCGGATCGCGGGAGTCTTCCATAAATAACGAGGCCTCGTAGTTGCGCGACGATCGATTCTCGAGGCACAGATAAAAGAGGAAATGAAAAACTGTAACCTTGCAACAAGTTAGGAGAGTCGTTCTGTCGAAAAAAGGGAGATAGCAATCAACAAGTGCAACGACCCGCTCTTTCTCTCGCAGAAAGGTGGATGAATGCGATCGATCGATCTCACTTTCTTACCTACAAGCGCGCGTGATTTTTTTATCTCTTTCTGGTTTACGTAGAATTATTAAACATCTCGATCTCTACAGTGTGCGCGCAAGTAAATAACTCTCTATCCGACGAAACTTTGCTGACTAAAACTTTTAATGGCTCAAAGGTACCTTGAATTCTTATATAATGTTTTTTTCTGACTATCAGCTGCATGAAGCTAAAAAAAATTTTTTTTCAAACTGCCAGTATTACTTTTTTTAGTACTGTATTTAAAATATTTTATCCACAACGATACCGAAAAATTGGAGCAGTTATAACGCCATTGACCCTCAAAGCTTAAAATATTATTGATTTTTGTCATAGTCGTACGATTGAATAATTCTTTGAGCTGGAAAGATTCACTGTATTTTAACGGTATATTTAACAAATATAAAAAATATAAATTGAAACATTCATAAATGACGCTGCGGCTATTTTCAAATTAAACATGTTACTTATCGAGATTTGTGATGAAATTTTTAACGGCCACGAAAAACCCAAGAAGAATAAAAAAAGTCTATTCGACGTTTTTTGCTCGTTTTCTGATACAATAGAGTTTTTATGTCCGTTAGACTTGCAGGCTCATTAAAATAATGTAGAAAGTATCTGATGACATTTTAATTAACGAGCTCCGTAAAACAAAATAATTACTTTTAATTATCAGTTATTAAATATATAAATTCATTGTCCGATTTCAATTCATATTGTTATTGTACTACACGTGGCTATAGATTTAATTATTTCTTTTGTATGGCATAATACTATGAATATTTCTGTTCGATAAATTGCATGAAGTATTTAATCAACAGTTTAAATTTCGGTATCTACTAGAGATTGTCTTTTTTAAATGTAACCTTTACAATGATTGAAAGACTTACTAAAAAGTTTACAAAGGTAAATAAAGATAGTTTTGAAAATTATGATATTTTTCATTCTTTCGAATTTATACACATATTTACCGGAACTTGGCCGTTCAACCAAACAAACTATCCCAATTATGCGACGAGGAAAATCCATCACGTGTTGCCAAGCATTTGTATAACAGGATTATTTCTTTACTTCTATGAAAGACTTCATAGAGTATATAGATTTATCACTATTATTATATAGGTATCTTCTTGACGTTTTCAAAATGTCAATTTCCAGAGGTACTCGTACCGAAAATTAGTCAATAAAATGAAATCATGCAAATTATGTTTAAAGAATCATCAATCTTTTAGCTGCTGTGATAACAGCATCAGCAAGAATTTATCTTTTCTTATTTCTAAAGTAGGTAAACATTCGGAGACTTATCATTACTTTGAACATTTACTATTAGACCGGGAGATAGTGACCGAAAATAGGTGCTGATTTTTCCACTTATGCCCCTGACAAGTCTGAAAGATACATCGATAACAAGCTCAAAAACGGAATATTACGCCGTATTAGCGTGGCGATATATTTTAAAGTACATATCGATTTGTAACAAATTTTGCTTTGTGTGCTGATTTTTTAACTAATGCCATTTTGAAAAGATGATAGTTTGACACTGATCGAGTCTTTATCTAGCTAGGCATAAGAGCACCTAGAGTCCTTTGGTGTAGATCGATATGGTCATAATGTAAGAAAAATCCACGATTGTGTGCTGATTTTTAAACTTATGCCAATGCAAGGGATGACATTTTGAAACTCATAGAATACATAGAAAATAATGGCATAAGTGCCACTAGTAGATATAAAAATCTAGACTTTACGAAAGATGTGAAAAATGTTTAACCCGAAATATTGTAGCACTTTCGTAGAGTCCAGATTTTTATATCTACTAGTGGCACTTATGCCATTATTTTTTATGCATTCTATGAGTTTCAAAGTGTCATCCTATCCATTGGCATAAGTTTAAAAATTAACACGCAATCGTGGATCTTTCTTACATTATGATCATATCGATCTACACCAAAGGACTCTAGGTGCCCTTATACCTAGCTAGATAAAGACTCCATCAGTGACAAACTATCATCTTTTCATAATGGCATAAGTTAAAAAATCAGCATACAAGGCCAACATTTTTTACAAATAAAAAAAAATCGCCACGCTAATGTGGCGTAATATTCCATTTTTGAGCTTGTTATCGATGTATCTTTCAGACTTTTCAAGGGCATAATTGGAAAAATCAGCACCTATTATATTACTCTAATGGTCTAAACTCACTACCCATAAAGTTTCGTGCTGAATAAGATTTGACAATTGCCTCTGGAAAAAGGTCATGTTTATTTATAATTATTTACCGCACGTCCCTGATTCCAGGTGTAAGAAATGGCTTTTTAATATCAGAAAGGCATATTCTTTCAATTGTATAAGGTCTCTCAGTGAATAAGATTTGAAAAAATTTTTAGTCGCGAGCTCCCGGTCTATTATCGGTCACTATCTCCCGGTCTATATTGATCTAATGGTTGTTGATTGTAAAATTCAAATCTGCGCTTTAATAAATCAGGCAATTGTAATGGAAAGAACGGGACCAATCCAAACATTGAGCATGGAGGAATTAAAAATAATCAATAAGTGGAGATTCATTCGGAATTTACTGGTAAAGATTGCGGCTTTTTTCTATACAAGCGGGGCGCTGTTTTATTTAATTCCTCCCCTATTTTTCGGGAAGCTCCCCTTTCCCGGTTATAAGTCAGAATATCTTGACACAAAGTAATATTTTATTCTAAGAATTTGATAATATTTTTCTCAAAGTAAAACCGTTCGGAATGTTAATTATTTTACATACTTCACAGATGGTAAAAATTTCGTTCAAAATAAAGAAACCCGAAAAGTGAATTTTTCAACAAAATTACGATTCAACCACAGTAGTTATAAAAAAATTGATCATGCCTCGTAAAAATCAGATTAACCATTTTTTATAGGTTTGCCGCGGTAGCTATCATACAGAGCATATCGATGGTCTGTACGATGCCAACATGGATGTCCTTTGATATTTATGTGTGTATATTTTTGTGCCAAATTTGCAAAAAGTTCGAAATGGTTCACGCTGTAGCACAAGATTTGTGGGGTAAGAATATAGCCACCTTGCACGCTATCATTCAGCTGCACAATAGAGCCTTGGAGTATGGCAAGAAGATGCGCATAATCGTGCATTGTACTTTCTTCATGATTAATTGCTCTTACGGTGCTTATTTAATCTTCGGAACAATTGCCATAAAAAAGGTAATGGTCATCTTTTCAATAAATTGATAGACGGTTTAGGAATTTTTACTTCTCATGCCATGTAGAAACATAATCAATTATTTGGGAAATAAAACGTTTAATAATTTTTTTTATAATTCAACACTAATGAATAATAAATATTTTCAGATTAGCTGGAAGACTGATGGAGCTTTGGCTGTAAAAAATCTAGCGACGTTCGCTGCATGATCCTCTGGTCTTTTTTTATGTGTTTCATTGGTGACCTTTTACAAGAATTATCATCTGAAATAGGCGATGGAATAGTTTTGGATAATTACACCGAGCACGGGTTAAATCGAAGGTACTTTAAAGATCTCGAAATTATAAGTGCACGATGCGGGCTTAGCTTGAAAATAAAGTATACGCCAAATATGATTGTCAATATGGAGATGTTTACTGCCACTATAAATTATGTAGTGTCAACTTATTTATTTGTAAACGCCATGCTTGTAAGCCCTGAATAGTGGATCCTCGTAATAATAATAGTTATTTATACGAGCCCAAAAACGCCTTTTTAACACTGCGTGCGCGAAACACGGGTTTTCTAACCTTAAAGCGTCAGAAAACCCTAGTTTCTCGCAAGCAGAGTTAAAAAATATCGTTTGCAACTAGTCCGCGAGGAAGTTGACTCACCCAGGAGTCTTTGCACCCTCGCTACGCTCGGGTGAAAACAACTCCTGGATGAGTCAACTGCTTCGCGCACTTGTTACAAAATATACTATTTGGGCACGTGTTGCATACTAGTAATTTACCATACATGTGCCATAAGTAAGACTTTTTGGCACGGCGTAGTTTAAACAATTTATTATTATAAATAATTTTTTCTTTGAAAATTTTTTTTTTCGAACGTAACTTTTTTATTTGAAATAATTTTTTGTTGAAAAAAATTTTTCAATAACCTTTTTTTTATACTTGGCTGGCTAAGTGCTACCGCACCTGTTGATAGAATATTAAAATAGCAATAAAGCCATTGCAGTTTAGAAAAAAAATTTTTTGACTTTTCATCACTAGCATTTATTAAAAACCTCTGCCAATTTATTGGCAAAGAGCTTCCTCATAAAAAATTATATTAATGAAAGGGTTTGATTATTGAAGGGAAATTTTGTATTTCATTTTTGACTTTCCAAAAAAACATAATTAAACTTCTATCTTAGCCAAAAGGCCGAGAAGACAAACACACACATACAGACATTTGTTGGTAATTCAATGTAGTTTCCAAATATGTAAACCAAATTGTCCTATATACGAGGTCTAGTTTCAAATCTCATTTTCAAGCCTATCACATAACTTCCTCTATGAGGAAGCAAAATATTTTATAAGAATGTACTTTTAAGCCCTCAACGAGTTCCCCTCAAAATATATACCCAAGGTGGTTCTGAAATGTTTTCATTAACTCTGGATTCTTGACCTGAACTTTTAACCACGACCACTATCATAGCTCGAGCAAAAGGAATTTTTCACGAAATTTCGCGCGAAAAGTGTCTATTCAAGAGAAGGCTCATAAAAAGACCGGAGAACGTCGTACACAAGATTTGCAAAGTTGGGGCGCTTGAAAAGTTTATCACTTTTTACACGAGTGTGGTGTGGGTGTGTGTGTGTACGCGTATACATGGCGGCAATTTTCATAGCTGGCTGAGCTTTGAAAGCTCTCTCGGAGGCGCGCGCGCGAGCGACCCGTTTTTTTCTGACTTTTTTTTGTCGGTATCGGCCAAGTGTACAGAGGGAAAAAGTGGAATCATATAGTAAATAAAATATCGGGGTCGCTCCGCTGACCCATAATAGCAGCAGCTGCACGCGCTGATGTGCACGCATGCGGCCAGCTAGGACTATATAAACGCTTTGGCTCGAGGAGAGGAAAAAAAAATGCAAGATGAAGAAGTAAAATATTCGTTTTTGGCAAAGGCTACAGGCTCGTATACATATAGAGGAATCGGGCGTCTCGAAGCGAAGGCCAAAAGCGATAAAAGTCTGGGATTTATATACTATAATAATACGCCGGCTCGGTTCGAATGCGGGTCGGGGCGCGGGCATTAAAATTTTCTCATTCGGTACAACGACTGCAGCCGCGTCGTGTGCAATTTGCTCGTATATGTATTTGGGCTAGAGCTCGAAACAATCGGAAAATCAATCATCATTGCATAACACGGATTCGAGGCATCCGTTGAAAGCCCCCCAATCACGCTCTAGATTCGGATAGGCCGCACTAGACATGCCTAACGAATCAGCCGCTCTGTCATTGCCCAGCTGTGTCCAGAGCTTGCGGGCTTTGATCGGTCCGCTGACTGCTGCTGCTGCGACTCGAGTGCGTCTGCGCGTCGAAAGCTCGCCCGATTGCATACTCGCAGCTCGCCGCCTGCTAGAGCTCGGCTCCCTCGCTCGGCTCGCTGGCGCGGGGGCAGAGAATTTCTCCCTCAAAGTTCACCGCGTGCACAGGCGCCCGCGCGAGCTTCTCACACACACATACACGCTGGCACGAAGAGCTGTGGAT